AGTCTCCTGCCCCGTGCTTGCGGGCGGGACCCCCTTTTCCCTGTGAGAGGGACCCCCATGCACCCCAGCCTCTTGCGGGAGGGATCCCCCGGCTCCTTGTCGGAGACCCCCCCCCGCCCCAGCTCTGTGCAGCAGGCATGCCAAGGCACCTCCAGTTCCTTGCGGGAGGGATCCCTCTCCTGCCGCTCTCAGGAGGGATGCCCGGGACACCCCTCTCCTCCCCAAACCCCCCCAGCATTGGTGTCGGGGACACATTCCCCCAGCTCCTTGTAGGAGGCGTTCCTGCGTGCCCCTAAATCCTTGCAGAAGGAACCTCCTATCCCCCATGAGGGGATACCCTGGTGCTGAGGCTCGAGAAAGGGATCTGAAAGAGGGGACCGGGGAGCCCCACATTCCCTCTGCCGCATCACCGAGGGATCCCACGTCCCTGCAGCTCCCGGGGCCGCAGAGGCCAGGCTGGCGTGTCCTCAGCATCCCTGCCCGCGCTGCGTGCCACCACGCGTGGCGGAGCGTGACTCGGAGCACGAGCTCGGCCCCGGGCCCCTGGGAACGGGGAGCGCTGGCAGCAAGCCTCCAGCCTTGGAGGTTTCCGGGGGGAGCCAGAAATCGGGGTGACTCCAGCCGTGGTCACCCTGCTGTGCGCGGGAGTAGCCAGGGGCCAACGGGACAGGCCGGAGCATCCCCACGGAGCATCCCCACGGAGCATCCCCACGGAGCATCCCCACGGATCCCGCGCTGGGCGCTTTGTGCCGGAGGCGTGGAGGCAGCGCGACTCCGTGAAAGCGCGGAGATAGAGCACAGGCGAAGGCATGGCTGCGACATTCCACCACCCCTGAGCCCGTCTGGCACTGGGGGGAGGATCCGCATCCGCGTCCTGGGTGGTCGCGCTCGGACCCGAGCGGGGAGGCGGCGGAACCGGGGGCTTGGAGGCGGTGACCCCCGGAGCACAAGGCTGGGGGGCTGCGTGGGGTGCAGGCATGCCCTGTCGGCATCCCTGTCAGCATCCCAGCCTCCAGTTCCCCGTGTCCTCACGGGGGCTGTCACCCCCGCCAGCACAGGGCAGCGAGCCGGGCAGGTGGCTGCGAGCCGGGCACTGCAGCAGAGGAGCCTGCGGCGGGGGCGGCGGGCTCGGGGTCCGCGGGGAGCCGGGCCGCTCCCGGTGCCGGAGCGATGCGTGGCCGTGCCGGGGTGCTGCGGGTGTCGGCGCCGCGCGGGCGGGAGCGGCGGTCGGAGCAGACGCGTTTGCTCCGGCAGCTGCGGCGTCTCGCCGCAGCGAAAGGAGCAGCGCCGGGGCTGCGAGCCGCTGGGGACGTTCGGGAGGCTGGGGGGCTTCCCAAGGAAGGATGCTCTGGAGCAGATCCCTGCCACACTGTCCTCGGGATGTGACAATCCGGCTCTAGAGGATGAAGTGATGCGGGGAAGGCTTTTGGCTCTCCACGGGGGAGATGGTGCCCTTTGCAGGATGCTGGAATCCCAAAAAGCAGAGGACAGGATTGAGGGGAAGGAAGTGCCCTGCATCTGGGGAGGTGACTTGTGTGGGATAAAGTGGCAAAGTCAGGCCAGCTAACTCGTCCCTTGCAGAGAAACTCTGTGGGATGCAGGATGGAGAACGACTTTGGACAAGGGCATGGAGTGACAGAACAAGGAGGAAAGTCTTCCAAAGTGACAGAGGACAGGGTTAGTTTGGATACTGGGAAGAAGTTATCTCCGTGAGAGTGGTGAGGCCCTGGCATAGGTTGTCCAGAAAAGCTGTAGCTGCCCCATCCACTAAAGTGTCCAAGGCCCAGTTGAACAGGGCTTGGAGCAATCTGGGATAGTGGAAGGTGTCCCTGCCCACAGCAGGGGCTTGGAATGAGATGGTCTTTAAAGTCTGTTCTAACCCAAACCATTCCATGATTCTATGATCCTATGCTCCAAGAGGTTTACTAGAGGCAAAAATCATGTGTGATCTGTACCCACAGCCCCACTTTGAGGGTGATGACGGCAGCAGGCAGGGGTGAGCAGGACCAGCCCTGTTTTGGGGTCCCTGGCAGATCAGGAAAGTGCTGCTGGAGACACAGACAGAGCAGACAGCAGCAGGGGAGGTACAGATGAGTCACGGCATGGGGAGCTGGGGCTCTGCGTGGCTGCTGCAGTGATAAGATACAAAAAAAAAGCCTTGTCACAACGGGTGCAGTGTGTAGCTGCCCACCTACAACGTGTGGAGCTGTACAAAGCGTGGCTCTGTGCTGGCTCTCCGTGCAGATCCTGCTGTGCCACGCCAGCACGCTGCTGGCACAGCCCACAGTGTGCAGGCAGTGGGCAGGGGAGAGAACAGCAGGGTGCCTGGGGAAGCTGGAGGGGACTGTGGCATGGCCACAGGCAGGAGTCTGAGGAGGGGCATTCCTGACAGGTCTGTAGGTAGCAGCAGCGAGCAGAGCTCGCTGGGACGTGGGGAGCAGTGCCCCATGGCTTGTTACCCCTGCTGCAGCCAAGGGGAGCGTGTGCCCAGGCTCCTGGCACAGGGAGCTGGCAGCAGGCTTGGCAGCATCCTTGGAGGTTCTCCTGCCAAGTGCCGCACAGAAACAGGCATGGTGCTGGATAATGCCCCAGGGGGCTGTTAGTGGTTCAGAGGCAGCTCCCTGTGGTCTGGAGAGCTGCCAGTGACCATCAGTGCCCAAGTCCTTGCTGATCCCTCTTTGCTTCCCAGCCAGTGTGAAAGCACATAGGGGTCTGCTGCTGGGGGGCCGGTGTGGAGGGCTGTGTGGGCTCTGCACCTCCGGGTGATGTGTCAGGATTGTGCCACCATCCTGCAGGTATGATGCAGGGAAAGATGGCTTCATTGACCTGATGGAGCTGAAGCTGATGATGGAGAAGCTGGGGGCTCCACAGACACACCTGGGACTGAAGAACATGATCAAGGAGGTGGATGAAGACCTGGACAGCAAGCTCAGTTTTCGAGAGGTGAGGGGATAGGAGGTTCCACACTGGCAAGGAGATGTTCGGGCTGGTGAGAAGGTGGGCAGTGGCTGTGGTAGCTTTGAGGTCTTCAGGCAGCCAATGCTACCATCTCCCCTTGCAGTTCCTGCTGATTTTCCGGAAGGCAGCAGCGGGTGAGCTGCAGGAGGACAGTGGGCTGCACGCCCTGGCCCGGCTCTCCGAGATCGACGTCTCCACAGAGGGGGTGAAAGGCGCCAAGAACTTCTTTGAGGCCAAGGTGAGGCAGGGCTCAGGAGGTCCAACTGCAAGGTAGCAATGCACCAGGGCAGTTTGGTGCTGGGTAAGCAGGAGGTGATGTTGGGTGGGCAGGAGAGCTTGGCAGAGGTCACAGCTGAACATTTCCGTCTGCAGGCACAAGCCATCAACGAAGCCAGCAGGTTCGAGGAGGAGATCAAGGCAGAGCAGGAGGAGAAGAAGAAGCAGGCGGAGGAGCTGAAGCAGAGGAAGGCAGCCTTCAAGGAGCTGCAGTCCACCTTCACACAGTGACAGGGCCAGGCAGGACTGCTCAGCGGTGCCCAGGCTGGCAGCGCTGCCGTGCCCCGTGCCAGCCGCACCGGGAGCGACGCCCGAGCCGTGTGCCACCCGGCGTGGGCTCGGCACGGCGCCCGCCTCGCTGGCAGAGCCCGGCCAGCCCCGGCCCCCTCCCCTCTTGCTGTGGTGTCTGTAGGTGTTGTCCGTGCCCCCCACCTCCCCAGCGTGCCCCCCTCCCTGAACAGCACCCTGTTCTCTGCCCGCAGCTGCACTGGGGGTTGCTGCTGCTGAGTCCCAGGGGAGCTGTGTCCAGAATGTGTCCCTGGGACACCTGTGCCCAGACTGTTTTATGCTGTGAGTGCACTGGGAGGCATGCAAAATGGGGGCTTGTGCAGGTGGCCACGGTGGGTGTTTTGGTGGCCACACTGGCTCAGCATCTGTTGGTATTGCTATGTCTGACACCAGTACAAAAGCCATGGCAAGGGCCAGGTGCTGGTAGAGGGGCTCTGTGTGTGTGTGTGTGTGTGTGTGTGTGTGTGTTAGTGCTGGGGGTGCGTGCCCACCCTGCTGAAATGGAGCCCCTCAGGAGCTGTGTCTCTATTTTGGTCAAAGACGTACAGAAAGGCAGCTGCTGGCTCATGGGGCTGTACTATGTTTTTTTATGTTGTATTCAGCCTGGCAGGATGAGTGTGGTGGCCACAAGTGGTTGCCATTGGTCACTGAGGCCCTCGTGTTTGTGGGTGGCTGTAAAAGCCCACATCTGTCCCATGGTGTCCCCCGAGTGGCGCTATAGGGGGTGTGTTATGTTTTTTTTTTTTAATTTAATCCCAAATAAATATTATATTTCTTAAGTGCTGGTTGCTGGGGTGCAGCTCTTGGATGGGCATGTCTGTGGCAGGGTCTTGGGTGGAGGGAAGGAACCTGGGGAGTGGGGTGTGACCGTGGGCACACGCTTCCCACCAGGAATGGTGGCACTGAACAGGGATGAGCCGTGGCTCACTGGTATGGGAAGCAGCAGGTGCCTGATGCAGGTGTGGGGACGTGGGGCTACCAAAGGCCATGGGCACTGCTGCCGATACCTGCTCCGGTCCCACCCCGTGGCACCTGAGCAGTTTGGTGGGTCTTGACCATATCAAGAGTGAGATAAGGAGACCTTGTGCCTGGGAGGTGCTGGCGCGAGTTGGGCACTGTCCTGGGGGAGTCGCTGCTCAGCACAGGGGGCAGCAGGGCTGCCAACACCACACTGACAGCATCAGGGGTGGGGGCTGCCCATCAGCTGTGCCCCAGGAGGGACCCTGCCCATTCCCAGAGCAGGGCCAGGTGTCCCCGCCATGTCCCAGCTCGGTGCCAGCACATGGCGGGCAGATGTGGCCGTTCCCAGGCGGGACGGCGATAAGAGTGGCTGATTGGGCTGAGGAGCCCCTGTGCCCACAGCGTGGGACAGTCCCCACGTGTCAGTGGCAGGCAGGGACACTCCAAGGTCCCCAGCAAGGTCTGAACACTATAAGAGGGTGAGCGGCCCCACCACGGCACCTTTCCTCCACGCAACCATGCTGCGAGCCATCTGTCTCGTCGTGCTGCTGGGCTACGGTAGGTGCAGGGGATGGAAAAGGGTCAGGGCAGGGAGGACACGATCGTGGGGCCTGCCCTGGCCCGGGCACGGGCACAGGCAGCCTCTGATGTCCCTTTGCCGGGTGTCACACAGCCTACGGATGCGGTCAGCCGGCCGTGCCGCCACAGCTGAGCTCCCGCGTGGTGGGCGGTGAAGACGCTGTAGCCCACAGCTGGCCATGGCAGGTGAGGGGGCACAGGGACGGGCATGGGGACAGGGATGGGGACATTCCTGCTCTGACCCTGTGCTTCTGCCCTCGCAGATCTCGCTGCAGACCCGCTACTCTGGGTCCTGGAGCCACTATTGCGGTGGGACCCTCATTGCCCCCCAGTGGGTGCTGACAGCTGCCCACTGCATCAGGTGGGTGCTGGGGTGCTGGGGGGCATGTGTGCCATGGAGGTAAGGTATCTGTGGGGACTCACACCCCGTCTCTCCCTGGCAGCTCCTACATGACCTACCGTGTGGCGCTGGGCCGGCAGGACGTGTCAGAGACTGAAGAGCCTGGTTCTGTGGCCGTGGGTGTGGAGAAGATAATCGTCCATGAGGACTGGGACTCCTACTTCCTCGTGTAGGGAATGCGGTGCATCAGGGCTGGGTCGTGGGTGGTGTGGCCACAGACCCTTGTCCCCGTGGCCAGGGACCCTGTTCTCACGGCCAGGGACCATGGTTCGTGTCTCCTTGCAGCAATGACATTGCCCTGGTCAAGCTGGCAGAGGAGGTGCAGGAGACCGACACCATCCGCATCGCCTGCCTGCCGCCTGCTGACAAGATCCTGCCCAACGACTACCCATGCTATGTCACCGGCTGGGGAAGCATGAGGAGTGAGTGGGGTGTCCCCGGGAGGGTCCCCGGGAAGGGGATGCAGGCACAGGGTGGGAGGTACGAGCTTTGGCTGTCGTTGCAGCCAACGGGCCCCTGGCCGACATCCTGCAGCAGGCTCTGCTGCCCGTGGTGGACTACGAGACCTGCTCCCAGTGGGACTGGTGGGGCGACCTTGTGTACGAGAGCATGGTGTGCGCCGGCGGCGACGGCGTCGTCTCCGGATGCAACGTGAGTGTGGGCACCGCACGAGGTGCTGCCCAAACGGTGTGGGCTCCAGGAGGAGAGGGGATGGAGCCATGCTGGTGGATGGCCAGGAGGGATGGGGGGCGTGTCGGCAGGGGCCAGGAGCAATGGCACAGAGCGTCTTGGCACAGGGCGATTCTGGGGGCCCCCTGAACTGCCAGCGCGATGATGGGCTCTGGGAGGTGGACGGCATCGTCAGCTTCGGCTCCAGCCGCAGCTGCAACCTCAAGAGGAAGCCAACAGTCTTCACCCGGGTGTCCGCCTACATCGACTGGATCAACGAGGTGGGTGCCCCTTCCTCTGCCCCCACAGGGGTTTGTCCACACTGCCCCTGCCCTGCCAGCAGTCTCACCATGAGCCTCTCCATGTCTCTTTGGCAGCAAATGAGCGCGAACTGAGGACACAGCACGGAGCACAAGCATTGAGCATGATAAAGGCAATAGTGCTAACTTGGTTTCATGTGGTTCTTTCAAGGGGACGCAGTGGAGCAGAGCCAGGGGGCTTGTGGTCTGGGCTTGTGGTCCTGGGCTTCTGCCTGTGTGCTGGGGAGAGCCCCCACCTTGTGCAGTGAGGCTGGGCAGGCTCCTGGGCAGAGATCTCACAAGGTACTCCCAGCTAGCAGTAGATCCATGGCCATTGCCAAGCCAAAGATTTCAAGGCTTGACTGGTGGTTTGATGGGAGAGTGGCTGGAATCTGGCCTGGTGGTCCAGGGGGCCTCTAGGGAACTTGGGGAGGGGCTATAGGGCCCCTAGTTGGCCCAAGGAGTTTTTAGGTGTCTTGGCTGGTGCTGGCATATTTCAGGGGATCTTGCTACTTAACTGGCTGGTAACTGGGCTATTTGATGGCAGCAGGCTTATAGTTGGAGTGTTGAGGTAACTGGGTTGGTTCTGAGGGTCATTTTGCAGCCCCACCACATTCCCTCCACCAGCTGTGCACCAAAGTGCTCCCACTCTGTTCTCACCTCTGCCAGGGATGCCCTGGGGAAGGAGCAGCCCCTGCAGTCCATGTCACTGAAAGGAGAGGGACAAGGCTGTACTCAATGTCACCCTCACCCCAGTCCCACTGCTTCCTTAGTGAGGGAAGTGGGGAAAAAAACAAGGGGAAGAGTGCAGGGTCACCTTTCCTGAAGGAGAACAAGTCCAGGGGAGATGGGATCAGCCTTGGAGTCACCTGCACACCTAGATGCTCTGTACAAAACTGAACAACATGGGACAGGGCAGCCCAGAGCCTCGCTCCTCTGGGGGATGGAGAAAGGGAATAGAAAAGGACACAACCATGAGCTCTCACAAACACCTGAGCACAGGCAAGGCCATCACAGCCACACCCCAGCTCCAGCTGGACCCTCCTTGGGGTGCTCAGGCAGCCCTGGCTTCCTCCTGCAGCACCCTCAAAGTACCTGAAATGCTCCCAAAGGAGCGGGGAAATACTCAGTGACTGCAAAAGCAGGCTGGATATTCCCAGGTTCCCTGGTGTCCAAGATTGGAGCACCAAGAAGTTTCCTATTACCATCCGAGTAGCAGTTGTCTCTGGGCAATTTTCCTTATCTCCTGTTAATGGGCCCATCAATGTCTCACCACATGCCTCAGAGATAAACTCTCCAGGAGCCACTTCTGTTTAACAGGTGATTAAGGACTCAGAATAACATCAGCTCATTGTGAGATGCTCCGCCCAGAGGGAGGAGCCAGGCATTCCCACCTGGATACAACCAGGGATTTCTAGACAGAGAGGCAGCCTTTCCACAGGTTTCTGAGAAGACACAGCAACCACATCTGCCATCCCAAGAGGACTGCAGCCACTCCAATTTGGACTGCTACCAACACGCTGGCCAGAGGCGTGACAGGTTGTATTCTGACTTCGTCAGTGGTCTTCCTTTTGTATCATTGCATGTATTTTTGTCTTTTTCCCTTTTCCCAATAAATTGTATTTCTGACTTGGAGTCTCTTACTGGTTTTGCTTTCAAACTAGAACTCCTGGGAATCCCCAAGCAACCCTCAGCACAAACCTACACAAGGGTGGCTCCAAGGCTCCTTTCCCCCGTCAAAATCCAACACAGTTGCAGGACTTCTGACCCAAGGCCATCATCGCAGCAGCTCCTTAAGTGCTTTACATCAGCACTGGAATTTCAATGAATCCCCATCAGTTTCCTGCTGTAACTCCTGACTGACTCCTCAAAAGGAGCAGGATGCTCCATAGGCTGGCACAGCCACGTTGTAAATGGCCACACAGAGCAGCACAGACATGAGTGAAGGCTCCAACTCTTCCCATTCAGAGGAGCCTTCAGGAGGTGCTGAAATGGCCATGAGGAGATGGAACAGACAAGGGGATACAGCTAAAGATTTGCTCTTTAATTGCATTTATTAGAAACATTGACTGCAAAACTCATCCTATTTCACTTGAACATCACACTCTGGTCCCATCAATCAATCACCTGGGCAGCACAGGACACAAATATAATGATCAGCAAAGAAAAAAACACTGAGGCCAAGGGTGACTGTGCCAGAAGTGTTCTCCTCTGGCTCTGTTCTCCAGCAAAGGCACTTCCTGCTCCATCCACATTTCCCATCGGTACAGCACAATCTCCATCTCATCTCCACTCCATGGCAAAGCCAGCGCTCACCCATCACACTTCTCCAGACAAACATCTGGACACACAGACAAAATCCACAGGGAGCACTGACACCAAGTCATGGTGGGCACAGATTTCATTCAGCCACAGGAAGAATCCCCAGCGCTTGGCAGGGGGCTCGGAGCCCGCGTGTCAGCGGCACACAAAGAAGAATTTTTTACGGAGGAAATTGAAGCATCCCGGGATCTGCTTGTACCTCCCCCTGGCAGAGACAGCGTGTGCCACCTGGGAACAGAAGAAAGAGAGGCTGAGGAACGGGATGCTCTTCCCATCCCTTGGAATCAATGGCTGCCATGCCAAGGTGGCCAAAGAAGCACCGCAACAACCACCAAACAACAGCAAGGTGATTCTGTAAGTGCTCTCTCCCTCCACGTTGGGCTTTTCTCCTACCCAAAGAGAACAGAAAAAGGATCTGGGGCATCTACGCTTGTATGCAACTTTGGCAATATTGAGTCAACAAGGCACACAAAGGAATATGTTGATTAGCCAGACTCATTCCATATCCCTTGTGCTCCTTCACTCCCAGGACAAGCTTACAGGAGCACCCAAATCTCATCAGCTTGGATAGGACAAGCCATGACATTTTTTAGCAATTTCTTCAGAAGGATTAAAGCCTGTATTGCCAAGATTACTCCTCAGTGGAGAAACCTCCAGTGATTTTTGGCAGATTGAGGCCAGACACCTTCTTTGTAATTAAACCTCTTTGCAGTACCTCCAATGAGCCCATCCCTAAACTTGACACTCAATATCCTCACTCCTTTTTTGAGGGTAGGCCTCTATGCCCCAACTGATCATACCCCTGACTATCTCCTTTATCAACAAAACGCAGAACAAAAAAGACATTTACCCTCACTAACATGCTGAGCAGGTCTTCTGAATGAGCATATTGCTCCAGCACACTGTCCAGCGTTTCCACATACCACGAGCCACTTGACTTCTCCCTCCAGGAGACAAAACCTTCAGTGAAAGAAGGAGAACGTTATGCCAAAACTTATCTGCTGTTCTCATTCCAACAAGTTCCTGCTGCTCCAACAGAGCTGGGCTCTCCTGAATTGCCATGAAGCTCTGACTGTTTTGCAAATTCCCCATGCTCAGGAAAGGATTTGCACAGGCTGTTTTACCTGGAAAAGTTGAGTAGGAAACCAAGATGTCGCTAGGCGTGGGCAAACTGGCAATGGCATCGGGCTCATCCACGTTATCCGATGGAACCCGAAACGGGATTGCGTCTGATTCCAAGGAATCCCCAAGAGCTTCCTCTTCAGGTGAATCACAGTCCACTACAAAGCCTTGATCCCTTTGTTCTGAAAAAAGCAGCAACAAGACAGCTCCTGACATTCATCCCACCCAAAGGATTCACAGTTGTAAGTCCAACGTTAAGAAAAGATGGGGAAAAGAGAAGGACAAAGGCCCTAGACCAGAGTAAGGCTTTCTGGCTATTCAGCTGCACCAGCTGAGTCAAAGGCATTGGTAGTTTATACCAAATTTCTCACTGTGTGTGGAGAGCTGGAGCAGCCTCTCAGAACATGGTAAAAGAAGAGGCAGCTGGTGTGAGAGGACAACTGGAGAAGGGGCAGTCAATGAACAAAAAGGGAGCCAAAGCCACAGCTTGACCATATCTCTGCAGCCCAACACTACTGGAGCCAACACAAAGATTCACCTCCACCACAGGCCTGGATGAAGAACAGTTTGGGTTTTCCTCTCAAACTCGGGCAACTGGACCCATTGAAATAGTTCACAATCTTTTCTATGGGAATGGGTTTTCCGTCCGTTCCGTAAACGCCTCCAGGAAACTGAATATGGCTTGTCTGCAAGAGGAAAATGCAGGAACTAGTGACATGGAAGGCAAGGCCAGTTCTGAGGCAGCCCGTTTCCCGTCAGGTGCTTCATGGCATAAAGGTACCAGAACAAATCCTGGTGTTTGTGGGAATCCCTGCAGCCAAGACAGGGTGAGGGACATCCAGGAGACATTTGAAATGCACTAAAACCCAGCAATCCAACTTCTGTTATCCAACTCATATCCCACATCCTCCAGCAAAGGAGTTCTTCATCCTCTGGTACAACGGGCACATACCATACACCATTTTCCTAAGAATGCCTCTCCTCATCCTTCAAGAAATGACTTGGAATAAACAGGTTTTATTGCTAATAGCATCTCCCTGTCAGAGCTGGAGATCAGGAAGGACAGAATCACCACAGCGTGAGGCTGAGTGAGTTACAAATTACTAGCCCCAGCTTCCAAAACAGAAAACACTTGTCCACTGGCACCACTGGATCAGACCACACCAGAGAAGCTCCTGTTTTCTTTAACCCAGAACAAGGGTGTAACTCTTAAAATTGTACTGCAATGGCAGAACAAGGTTTTGACGGACCACGTCCCTCTCACCCTGTGTGAGACCACAAGACAAAGAATTAACTCTTTCCCATCCCATAGAACAAAGGGGAGAGAGATGGGACAAACCCACCTGGCAGCCATGGGAAAGGATGACCACAATGCAGCAGTCCAAAGCACTGTGGTCCTGCCGTGACAGCTTCAGCAGCTCCAACACCATTTCCTGTGTGGAAAACATCACAACGATAGTCTTTTGAACCATATCTTGGCCACAGGTTACTGCCAGGCCCTGTTCTAATTGCACTGCCATGGATCCAATCTCTGCCACAGGATAGCATGAGCCCCAAGTACAGCTGGCAAAAGTCATTGGCAGAGAGTGAGTATTTCTGCATCTCTGCCCTTATTTAACACTGTCTGCTTTAATCACGCAGATTTCTCACCTCTCTATATTCTTTACAACACAGCACCACAAAACAAAGCACATTTCCACATG